CTTATTAATGGGCCTGCAATTGCTTCTTGCATTCAATCACATTTATAACTAGCAAGGAGAATGCTTGTTCTGCATGATTTAGTGTTTACAAAATTACAGTTGCACGGCAAAGCTTACTGTACCAGAGGCTTTGGAAAGAAGCATATGTGGTCCTTTTGCAGGTAATAAAATGGAAAATCCAATTTGCAATTGCAGAATAAGCCTCTGAGTGATGTATGATCTCCATAGCCGCGTTGGGCAGAGGGTCACCGCTAATCACAGCAAGGGCTGCCTTCCCCTGTGGCCTGGACCTTCCCACTGAAGAGGGAGCAGAGTGAATCTCTGTCTTGGAGCCAGCCAGCGTGTCTGTGGATGCACCACTTTCTAGCTTATTAGATCCTCTTTGTCACAGTGCTTAATCCTGCTGCCTGATCCTTGTTAGAACACCACCGGCGCGCCGCTCAGCCTTCTAATAAAGGAGATGGGTGAGGGCTTCTAACTAGACGCACTGAAGCGTGCGGCAGTTAGGCGATAGCAGCCTGACTGACAGGGGGGTGAGATGCTTCCTGCATGTTATTACTTAAAAGGGAGCCCACCTCAGACAGCTGACAGATGAGCTTTGCTGAGACAGTGGGAACTTGTTGCTAGGCCAATCCGAGCGGGTGTCATCTTTTCACACAGTCTAATGGCCTAGCTTTACTCTAATTATATTAACCCTCTTCTGAAATTGCTGCATTCCGGGCCGGCGCAGAGTGAGCTAAGAAATCCAGAGACAAATGGCTTGCTGGGAGGATTACAACTGCACTGAAGCAGGTATTGTGTTATCCACCAGTGACATTAAGTTGAAAAACAAAATAAGCACGCCCTATTAAGCCAGGCTCGGTTATAACTCTGAGGAGTCGGTGCTCAGTTTGGTTCCTGCAGTTTGGTTTCCATTTCTGTCGACTGTAATAGTTTCTTCCTTTAAGTTTGGCCGCGGTCATTAACCATGTTTTTCACGGTGCTTTGTTAAAAGGAAAGTACAGCATCAACCAAGAAGCTGCTGTTGGTCTCTTCCCTGCGCCC